CGTCTTGTGGTTCTCTGAAGACGTTTCATCCGTGCGCGGGATGAAAGCAGAAATTGCAGAACGAGAAAAGTTCAGCACAGTTGAATCTGACGAGTCAGGTACACTGACACTCTCTTTCGTTCGACTCCACAAGGATCCCCTGTTTGGCTGGCCATTGCTGCCAGGAAGGCGTTTGAACGGTTTCATCAGAGCGAGGGATGAAAGCAGAAAGCGGAGAACGAGAAAAGTTCAGCACAGTTCCAATCTGACGAGTCAGATACACTGACACTCTCTTTCGTTCGACGCCACAAATTGCAGAACGAGAAAAGTTCAGCACAGTTCAAATCTGACGAGTCAGGTACACTGACACTCTCTTTCGTTCGACGCCACAAGGATCCCCTGTTTGGCTGGCCATTGCTGCCAGGAAGGCGTTTAAACGGTTTCATCAGAGCGAGGGATGAAAGCAGAAAGCGGAGAACGAGAAAGGTTCAGCACAGTTCCAATCTGACGAGTCAGATACACTGACACTCTCTTTCGTTCGACGCCACAAGGATGGTACCCTGTTTGACTGGACAAGAGCTGCCTGTACCACCGTGTCAAAAGGCTGTCCAACTACATGGCAGGACGATGACTGAGGTAAGGAAGCTTTTACTCGTTTCGATTGGTCTGCTGTTCTGTCGTTATGCTTGAATTTTTTTCCATTTTCAAGGATCGTATCGCGTTTTTGTTTGATGTTGCTTGAATGAATGCCATAAAAGTAATCAACCACTTCGTAATAGTCCTCAAGGACTGCAAGGACTTTGCATCAATCGTATACGATCGTCTAGCTATCATCAATTATTATTTTATTTCATGAGAAAAGTATTTTTATCCCTGTGATAATATGTGAACTCCACGACACTCTTCCTCTACTACTAGGCTCTAGTATGATGTCAAGTACAATGGGATCCAGAAACGCAGTGCCAGTGTACCGTAGTAGTAGTAGGAGGAGGAGGATTTCTTGTATGCCGATGACAAGAAAAAGCTTCTCAAGCTAATACATGTACTCGTATTCCATGAAGTAACCGTTTTGATGTCACAAACATGACATTGTGTTAGTGAAACTGCCTCGTGACAACAAATCATTGCATTTCCATTTTGGGGAAGACTGACTGACGGCAACGCTGTACAGATTGTTCAAATCATCTCATATCAATTTAGTTGCAGTGAAGTGAAACACTGTGTACACTACATGTATGGTGGTGTGTCTGTGCGTCTTGAGTGTGCACAAACGATCTTATTCCTCGTATTACTAATAGATTATTGTCCCCACCCTCACCTGTTCACAGTTCTTTGAGTGGATGGATTTTCATTGAGCATCACATTCGTTGAGAACTTGGTAGTTGTGTGCTTCCATGCATCATTACGGTAATAAGCGTATCCTTGTGCAATCTATTTGTTGCAGGTGTGCTGATCTTCAGAAGCTTCCGGAACTGAGTGCTGCTGAACATTTGCATGGCCATGAGCAATGGTGAAGCTTGCTATTGCACTCTCAGCATGTGCTAGTATTATGCTGACTACTGCACTATGTTACTCTCTTACACTACTACATGTATGTAAACGTGCGTGCATCCGCCCACGTATGCATTCGTTTCGTATAATTATTTGTTATCCCTCTTGACTTTACGTGTAAATGGGTGGACGTTTGCATGGCTGTTGGAGTTGATTGTGTATTGTGCCTCTACTCTTTTCTTGGTGTTTTCTTGGTGTTGTATAAGTTTGTGTGTGTGTGTGTGTGTGTGTGTGTGTGTGTGTGTGTGTGTGTGTGTGTGTGTGTGTGTGTGTGTGTGTGTGTGTGTGTGTGTGTGTGTGCACACACAATAATTTGAAAACAAATAATTAATCCTTGGCTCTCCATTATTCTTTTTCGATTCTTGGTTTTTTTCTACGTATTTTCTTGGCGTTGTGTGTGTGTGTGTGTGTGTGTACATTTGTGTGTGTGCGTGGACAATAATTAATTTTGGCTAAACTACATGATTGAGATATTGTAATTTGCAGCGTCTGCGAAGAGACCACTTGACTTGAGGATGGTGTTTGTAGGGTTTTTCGTGTAATGAAGTGGCTGCAGTGGCGCCTCAATACTTATTTTTTATCTTGAGAAGTGAATGATGTAAAGGATTAAAGGGAGAGGCCGTTTTCTGATTAATATTCGCTGCTTACAGCAGATCCTATGTCTAATTTGGAACTCTGGATAGGGGATGCCTAATTGGCTGGACTTTATACAGGGAGTGTTGTCCACATAAAGACTCTTTATAGTTGATTTCAAAGTTTGGACTCCGTACAGTTGATTTTGGACCAATGGACTCTATATAGGGGTGAAGCCAATTGGCTGGATTCTATACAGGGAGTGATGTCCATCTAAACTTTGAGCTCACAGTTGATTCCAAGTCCAACATATATATATGTGTGTGTGTGTGTGTGTGTGTGTGTGTGTGTGTGTGTGTGTGTGTGTGTCTGTGTGTGTGCGTGCGTGTTTGTGTGTGTGTGTGTGTGTGTGTGTGTGTGTGTGTGTGTGTATGCGTGTGTGTATGATTGTGTGTGTGTGTGTAGTGTGTGCGTGTGCGTGTCTGCGTGTGTGTGTGTGCGTTTGTGTGCGTGCCCGCGCATGCGTGCGTGATATATGCCTGTGAACTTTAAATTGTGTTCTATGGTTGAATGTGGTGACTACGCAGATGGAGTTGCTTGTTGATTTTTATTGCGTAATGCACACATGTATCCAAGGTGGGTTTCATAGTGAATGCTAGTGTTTGGTTTCTTTAGTAGAACACTGTGAGTACAGTCGTGGTCAAAGAAATCCAACCAAACTATTCAAAAGTAGCGCAGTACATGTATATCCATTTCAATTACAGTAAAACCTGTGACTAACGACCACCCCTTGGGGCCAGAGAAAGCGGTCTTTAGTGGCAGGTGGTCCTTAGTTAGAGGCTTGCCTGGCATAACCATAATATGAATGTCAGACTATCCGTGCGTGGCAAATTGGTCTGTAGTACCAGACTGGTCGCTAGTCAGAGTGGTCTGTAGTACCAGACTGGTCGCTAGTCACGGTGGTCTGTAGTACCAGGCTGGTCGCTAGTCACGATGGTCTGTAGTACCAGGCTTGTCGCTAGTCACGGTGGTCTGTAGTACCAGGCTGGTCGCTAGTCACGGTGGTCTGTAGTACCAGGCTGGTCGCTAGTCAGGGTGGTCTGTAGTACCAGGCTGGTCGCTAGTCACGGTGGTCTGTAGTACCAGACTGGTCGCTAGTCACGGTGGTCTGTAGTACCAGGCTGGTCGCTAGTCACGGTGGTCTGTAGTACCAGGCTGGTCGCTAGTCACGGTGGTCTGTAGTACCAGGCTGGTCGCTAGTCACGGTGGTCTGTAGTACCAGACTGGTCGCTAGTCACGGTGGTCTGTAGTACCAGGCTGGTCGCTAGTCACGGTGGTCTGTAGTACCAGGCTGGTCGCTAGTCACGGTGGTCTGTAGTACCAGACTGGTCGCTAGTCACGGTGGTCTGTAGTACCAGACTGGTCGCTAGTCACAGTGGTCTGTAGTACCAGACTGGTCGCTAGTCACAGTGGTCTGTAGTACCAGGCTGGTCGCTAGTCACGGTGGTCTGTAGTACCAGACTGGTCGCTAGTCACAGTGGTCTGTAGTACCAGACTGGTCGCTAGTCACAGTGGTCTTTAGTTACAGGTTTTACTGTACATCGTGCACTGTCCAAGAACCTCTCTGAGCACCATAGTGGCCGTAAGGACTTTGGCGCTGATTTTGGCTCACGGGTTTGATTTCTTTGTCAATGACGATGTCATAGGCATACCCACATGTATATACATATTGTAGTGGTGTAAGGTTTGTTGCTTACCAATGACTTTCATCTTCTTCTTTTTGTGTTCCATGACTGGGATCATCGGCTAAATTGTGGCCTGCTGTGAAATTGGCAGGTCTCAGAATTCGAAGAACTCGTAAGTAACTAGACGTGATGCGGTTCTTTGATATCTGTTTTATTCTGCTTGGTCACAATTAGTAGCTGTCAGAGGAAGGGACCTTATATAGGTGTGTGTGTTGGTCTTCTTGTGTCAAACTGATAAGAAGCATATCTTTTCGTTTCGTGAGAATGAAGTTGAAGACACCACTGCAGCTGTACTTATTATTATTATTATACGCATTCCCGCGTTGAAGTGTAGCAGCAGTATGCTGCGTCCACAGCTTCGCTTATGCAGAATGGCTTGGGTGAGAGGAGAGGGGAGAGAAAGCAACAAGGCAACCAACATCTATGAAATTGGCCACAATAACATGAAGAGAACCAACCATTACCTACATATGCATGATTGCACAAGAATGGGGACGACAAAATATAATGGCTATAATCATTGTGCCACAAAACCGGTACACAGGAGATCTGTCGACAATGTAACGAAACATAAAACTCAGTTACTCAATACAGGTTCCACTAAATTACAAGAGAACAACGCTACAACGTTAGAATTGCTGCTAAATTATCGCAAGTGTAGAGAACGAGTCAAATGAAAACCATGAACAGACTGTCCCGAAGTTATTTTGGGAACAAACTGTACTACATGTACTTGCTGATACTGACGCTGACGGAACACGAATTTGAGTTGAATACTCACGAAGTCTTGTACATGTACATCATTATGCGCCGGTGTTGTGGAGTAAGCAGGTACGTCAGTCACCAATCCATCTTCAGCTCCACGCTCGCTTCAGCAGAATGTTGCAGCTGTACTTATGGTTGCTAATTATGGTGGTACAGACACACCTGACAATATGACGGTAAACACACGCCTGCCCACTACTGGCACACGCTCTCTAGGCTGCATTCCTTTGTCAACGACTGTAAATCAGAAGAATATCTACATGTCCATGCATATTATGCTGTTGTAAGGTTTGCTGCTTACCAATGACTTTCATATTCTTCCTTCCTGTGCTCCATGACTGGCATCATCGGCTAAATTGTGGGCTGCGGTGAATTTCACAGATCTCAATGGATGGAATACGGGTAAGTAACTAGAAGTGACGCGCTTCTTTGATATCTGTTTTGTTCTGCTTTGTCACAATTAGTAGCTGCCAGAGGAAGGGATATGATATGGGTGTGTATTGGTTTTCTTGTGTCAAGTTGATAAGAAGCATGTCTTTTCGTTTAATTATTATGAAATGACGAGGCACTTGGGATGGGTTGGCCCGCGGCGTAATTTTTTATTGACGTAATCTTCTCTAAGACGCACGCCCTGAGAGTCTTTCGGAAAGTTTTACCTCGTGCACTTGGCTGGGCTTTGCATTACAAGGTCGGTGCCCAGCACGTGCTCTCATACTGCTCTGCGGCAAAATGCACGTTTTTCTGAAAAAGGTGACGTCAACAAAAAATTCCGCCGCGGGCGGGGGTATCTGCAGATTGTGCAGAAGAGATGCGGAGTTGCACACTCTTGTTTATCCACTCTTGGTATTACTTAGTAGTTATTACTTGTGTGGTTGCTATTATGTACATGTATGACCAGGACATTTGCTGTATAGTTGGATGTTTAGCAGCATGCAAAGAGTGAGGCATGACTCAAGGTGCCAATTTTTGTCCAGCATCTCTGTGCCCTCTTTCACTTTTGCTTTTCCTGTGTGTGTGTGTGTGTGTGTGTGTGCGCGCGCGCGTGCGTGCGTGTGTGTGTGCTATATGCCTGTGGACATTTGTTCAGATTTATCAGAGTGTGTACGCATCCAGTCTGGTAAGTGCCATATCGTGTCCAGGATCTCTGAAAGCTGTTCTCTTTGCTTTGCACAGATGTAGAACTATGGCTGGTGCTCCCTGTTATCGTGTGCATATTACCCATCAGAAGTCAGAATTTTCGATTACCACTATGTGTGTTTCATGCTATGCTATTATGTGATCATCTGGTTCTGTGAGTGCCTGGGTGGAATTTTCTTAGTCTTGGACTATTTCCGTATGCCTACGTTGTTCTTGATTTTTAAGAAATATGATGGTAGCTAAATAACAGAGAAACACACGACACTCTTTTTCTTACATATCGATCATAGCGAGAGGGTTTGGAGGACAATAGAACCGAAAGAATTCTACCACCTACCCCAGAGCATTACAAATCAAGGACCTTACGCAGGATAGCTGCCGAACCAAGGAGAGAATTATTTTGCAATTCAGACACAGAGCAGCAGCTGGTGATACCTATGGTGTCAATGTATCCTAGCAGCTGTTTGCAAACAGTGCCCGAAGTTCCAACTACCACAGGAACAATGTGAGTTTCAACTTGCCATAACCGATGGACTTTGCAAGCAAGAAGTAGAATCGTGGTGACATGGTGAAACAAACGAAAATTGTCACATTATTATGGCTGCCGGTTTTCAACGCTTTTGCTTATTTCTTTTGTGTGTATTTGTTTGCATGCATACGTGCGTGCGTTTCTGTGTGCTATATGACCGGGACATTTGTTCAATGCTTGATGGTGGCCTCTTTCCAGCGGACGTATTTTGTAAGTAACTTTGATAGCTGTTCTGTGTATTTACCGTGAAAAATGCCGGTGTTGTGCCCAATCAATCAATTTTGTAAGACTAGGATGGGTTTTATAGAAGCGGATGATAATTTACCGTCAAAGACGCCTTCAGCTGTTCTTGTTTTTAAGGACAGGTGCTTGAGTGAAGTCAGTGATTGATGAAGGTACTGGTGGTTTGTTCTAAGTACAGTGCTGCCATGTCAAAATTGTCCCAGTGTATATGTACATAGCAGAGCCACTATCTAACACACAGCCTGGCCGCACAACATTGCCAGGGCATTGTAGTACCCAGCACTAGTTTCCAGTAGGATGAATTCCATTGACAAGCACTGTAGTACCTTGTGCCTTGTGCCCCCCCCCCCCCCCCAATTCATCACTGCTGGTGTCTCCAGGCGAGGAAGTCCGTTCTTGGATGTATGTTGAATACCGTCCAGTGACAAAAGCTCTAAAGGTGATAATAAAATACACAGTGCAGGTGGGACATGGATACGCATTGCGCTAGAATTAAACCACATGCATGAAGAAGACATTTGATTAGAAGTTGACACTAGCGTTGCAACACATACATGGATAATGATAGATTGACACCCGTCAATGGGCTGAAAGAGATGAACAATTTTTTTGCGTAGGCGGAGGAAGTACATGGTTGCATGGTGAAGCATATGCACACCTGCCAGTTCACGTGTTTTGATCGTGCTACTTGCAGTACCTTAAAACAACGGAAATGTACAGGGGCGTCGCACATGGTACGGTCACTACGGTATTGACCGTACCACTATTTGCCCCAAGTCCCACTGAATCAATAAAATGCACTGATTTGGGCTCTAAATTCCAAAATATTTGGCTCAGCCATCCCATATTAATTATAATTCCCCCACGAGTAAATTGTACTTCAGATGGCTAACCGTACCACACTAAAATACCTTCCGACGCCCCTGATGTATCATCCAAACCTTCATGTACATTTATGCAGAGTTATACTTGTGAGTGTACTGTATAGTGTACATCACATTTTCCGTCCTTATCTGCACTGAAAAGATCCAGCCTAGACTGTTCTTAAAAATTGGTGAAATTTTAGCCTGGCCGTTCTTCGGCGCTCTGTTCTTCGGTTCCCGACAGTATTGTAGTAGTGTCGCACCTATCACTCTAAAATCAGAGGGGAGAGCGTTCCAGAGAATGCTTCCCCGAAACATCATGGTCGATCGTCCCGCAGGCCCACGAAGAAAGGGAACTTGAAGCAAGTTCGACACTTGTCCCCGTGTGGTGCGCTGATCTTCCGGAACAGTCTGTGGCGGCGTTCGTGTGAATATTTGTTGAAGAAGGGGGCTACATGACGTGTTAATGCATCGATGAACAAATAAGACAATTTTGTGTGTATATGTATGTGGTAGACTAACAATGCTGAGCAGAGAGAGCAGCGGGGCAGTTGGAGTCAAGAGCCACTGTTGCAAGGTGGTACGGATGCAAGCCTTGAACATCTTTTCAAGCTGACCAAGCACGTGTGCGCTAAGTCCTGGAAAGAAACTGTTTGAACCATAACACAGCTGGGAAAGGATCATGCTCAGGAGCCACGTTCGCCGCAACAAGATGTTACGAGTTACGACAATTGGTCCACCAACGTGATCAGATTAAATCAAGTCAGCGAGTGCGACAAAATAGCATAAAAGTGACAAGGAGTACTGAGACATTCAGCAACCTGACACCTAGCTGGAACACTTCTCCAAGGCGCAAGCTGGTGTCGACATTGTCTGTGTCACCGAATTCAAGTATCTGGGTTCGGTAATTCACAGCGGCGGCCGTTCATCCTGCAATGTTGACTCCCGCATTGCGAATGCCTCTCAAGCGTGTGGCGCTTTGCAAAAGTCCATCTTTGGCAACAAGCACCTGGACCTTCACATCAAGAGGTGTGTGTTCAACGCCTGTGTCTTGTCGCTCTTGCTGTACGGTTCGGAGTGTAGGACGCCTTTTCAACGGGATTTACAGTGGCTCTCTCTCTCTCTTCCCCCACCGATGCATCCTCTCGATCATGGGAGTGTCTCGCCAAGAATGCTGGGATGACCACATCACCAATCACCAACTACGTGTGAGGTGGGGTGATCCCGACACCATCCGCACGAAGGTGGAGAACCGCCGCGTTGAATGGCTCGGACATGTTGCTCGGATGGAGGACCACCTTCTGCCGAAGCAAGTTCTCTTTGGCACGCTTCCGTCGCGTCGCCCAGCTCATGGCCCTCGTCGGCGCTGGAAGGATTGTATTATGTCTGACCTTCGTTCTTGCGGTCTCGAGGGGGAATGGCGAGCTGAATGCGAGTCGCGTTCCACCTGGCGCTTGGCGTACTCAGCACCGGTAGATGCCCAGCATCCTCCCCCTCCCGTCACATGCTACACCTGCGGCCGACTGTTTGCACGCCCCAGTGATCGCGCTTGCCACAAGTGTAAGATTGAGCGTGCGAAGCCGGTTGCGGAGCAAAAGGGTGCGTGTCAGTGTGGAGAGTGTGGCCGTTGGCTGAGGTCCCGTGGAGGTCTGGCAAGGCACAAGTGTACTTACCCCCAGTCAGCAGTCGGTGCGCCCCTGCCGCTGCCTGCTTCTCCGCTGTGCTGCGTCGCTCACTGCCGGGCTTGTGACCGCTGCTTTGCGTCTACACATGGCCGCGCCCGTCATCGCTGCTCACGGACTTGTAGTCGTCCGACCGTTCAGGACCGTCAGGGTTTCACATGTGTTTGCGCCTGCTCCCGCCAATTTCGCTTACCGTATCACCTGGATCGTCACAGGGCTGTGTGCTCCTCCTCTCTCTCAGCTGACCCTCCGGGGCCCACGTAACCTTCATGGCAGTGGTTCAACAGGACAGGACAGGACAGGTGTGTGTATGTGTGTGTGTGTGTGTGTGTGTGTGTGTGTGTGTGTGTGTGTATGTGTGTCCCATATGGTGCAGTGGTATGTGCAGCGATTTCCAATCGATAGATTGCGGGTTCGATTCCCGACGATTATGGTCACACACGTCTTTCTTCTCTTTCTCAGACTCTTCCTGACTTTTCTTTCATTCTCCTGGGTGGTTACCAAAAGCCAGTGCATGCCGGAGTATGTGGTGTGATGTGTGTGCGGGAAAAAAAAAGAAAAAAAAAAGAAAAAATGAAAAAGACCAAAAAAGGGATTCACTGGCCAGAAAATGTCACTCCAAATAGCTGTATGGTGTAGACCAGGCTGAATAGTGACGGTCAATTCTTCAGCCTTGCAAGCTGTTGAATGGTGTAACCCCAGCACAAGTTGCTGTGGCTTCTGCCGTAGCATTGCTACCATCGCCTCCGGCGATGGGCGTCAAAGGTCAAAGGTCAAAGGTGTGTGTATGGAAAAAGACCAAAAAGTAGGGATTCACTGGCCAGAAAAAGCCACTTCATAGCTGTGTGGTGTAGACCAGGCTGAATAGTGGCGGTCAATTCTTCAGCCTTGCAAGCTGTTGAATGGTACAATACCAGCACAAGCTGCTATGGCTTCTGCCGTAGCATCGCTATCATCGCCTCCGGCGATGGGCGTCCAATGGTCCAATGGTGTGTGTGTGTGTATGTGTGTGATGTGTATGTCTGTATGTGCGTGTGTGCGTGTGTGTGTGTGTGTGCGTGCGTGTGTGTGTGTGTGTGTGTGTGTGTGTGTGTGTGCGCGCGTGTGTACGTGTGTGTGTTTGTGTGCGTGCCCGCGCATGCGTGCATGCTATATGCCTGTGAACCTTAAATTTTGTTCTATGGTTGAATGTGGTGACTACGCAGATGGAGTTGCTTGTTGATTTTTATTGCATAATGCACACATGTATCCAAGGTGGGTTTATTAGTGAATGGTAGTGTTTGGTTTCTTTAGTAGAACACTGTAAGTACAGTCGTGGCCAAAGAAATCCAACCAAACTATTCAAAAGTAGCGCAGTACAGTCAAACCTCGTTAGGACGAACTTAAAGGGACTGAACAAATTTGTTTGTCTTATCGGGAGTTCTTCTTATCCAGATCTGAAAAAATCGATATGCATAATCATAATTGTATTTACTTCAAGTACGTGAAGGTGCATGCTGTGGTACATGGGAAGCATGTTATTCTTACCATAAGCCAGAAACAGGTAAGTGCAATGACAAAGTGCAATGAATCACTACTGTGTCGAAAGTTCGTATAAGACACTGACTATTTGTTCAAAACACGCTTGAAAACAATTTGCACTGTACGTACAATATGGCCTCGTCTATTGAAAAAAAAGAAGAAAAAGGCAGCCAGCGCACGCGCACGCTTGTGGACCGAACGTTCGTACTACATGTACATGACCACACTGATTTTGTTCAAATCACACTTGAAAATAGCTCGTCTTCGCGAAAGTTCGCTGTACAGAAGTTCGTCGAAAACGAATAATTTTGACTTGAATTGATGCCTGTATATCCATTTCAATTACAGTAAAACCTGTGACTAACGACCACCCCTTGGGGCCAGAGAAAGCGGTCTTTAGTGGCAGGTGGTCCTTGGTTAGAGGTTTGCACGGCACAACCATAATATGAATGTCAGACTGTCCGTGCCGGGCGAAGTGGTCTGTAGTACCAGACTGGTTGCTAGTCACGGTCGTCTTTAGTTACAGGTTTTACTGTACATCATGCACTGTCCAAGAACCTCTCTGACGACCATAGGGGCCGGCCGTAAGGACTTTGGCGCTGATTTCGGCTCACGGGTTTGATTTCTTTGTCCATGACGATGTCATAGGCATACCTACAAGTATATGCATATTGTAGTGTTGTAAGGTTTGTTGCTTACCATGACTTTCATCTTCTTCTTTTTGTGTTCCATGACTGGGATCATCGGCTAAATTGTGGCTTGCGGTGAATTGTGCAGGTCTCAGAATTAGAAAGAATCGTAAGTAACTAGGAGTGATGTGGTTCTTTGATATCTGTTCTATTCTGCTTGGTCACAATTAGTAGCTGTCAGAGGAAGGGACCTTATATAGGTGTGTGTGTTGGTCTTCTTGTGTCAAGCTGATAAGAAGAATATCTTTTCGTTTCGGGCGAATGAAGTTGAAAACACCACTGCAGCTGTACTTATGGTTGATAAATATGGTGGTAAAGACACACCTGGCAATATGGCGGTAAACACACGCCTGCCCACACACGCTCTCTAGGCTGCATTCCTTTGTCAACGACTGTAAATCAATAGCCAGTTGAGTCATATGTCCAAGATTCCTTTTGAGTCTCTCTCCCCTCTCACGGGGAGACCCATGTGACCAGTTTTGGCATTGAGCAACACGCACAAGTACAAGTGTGTGGGTGTGTGTGTGTTTGTGTATGTGCTTGTATATATGTGTGTGTGTGTTTGTGTCTGTGCCAGCTAGTTCGGTTGGTGGGTACCCTTATGCCAGATAGTGTTGGGCCTGTTGCCAGCGGGCTTGGCTGCTTGAAGGTGTATTGTTGTACCTACCACCTTTGTTGGTTTCAGGGTTCATATACTTTCTAATTTGAAGTATACATACCTGTTAACCATGGACTGCTTGTGGCTAGATTAACTCTTGTGTAATCAATGGTGCTAGTGAAGCATATATCGGGTCCACTGTGATTTAGCCACCCACACTAGCAGCAAGTATTACCTTCACTGGGGGCAGGGGTACCTGCAGTTGGATCCCGGTTCGGATACCCTGATGCCGTCAATCCTTTTTCTGCACCTTGTCCCCACCCGGTTACTGAGGTGTGGTGAGCCAAGTGGGATCATTTCAAGTCCACCCTAGTTTGGGGATTTCAGAAGGTGTCGGCCGTTGGGCGGTTCAATGGCCAATTGAGTCATCTTTCCAAGATTCCTTTTGAGTCTCTCTCCCCTCTCCCGGGGAGACCCATGTGACCAGCTTTGGCAGTGAGCAACAAGTACAAGTACAAGTGTGTGTGTGTGTGTGCGCGTGTGTGTATGTGTGTGTGTGTGTGTGTGTGTGTGTGTGTGTGTGTGTGTGTGCATGTGTGTGTGTGTGTGTGTGTGTGTGTGTGCATGTGTGCGTGTGTGCATGTGTGCGTGTGTGCGTTTGTGTGGGTGCCCGGGCATGCGTGCGTGCTATATGCCTGTGAACAATAAATTTTGTTCTACGGTTGAATGTGGTGACTACGCAGATGGAGTTGCTTGTTGATTTTTATTGCATAATGCACACATGTACCCAAGGTGGGGTTATTAGTGAATGGTAGTGTTTGGTTTCTTTAGTAGAACACTGTAAGTACAGTCGTTGCCAAAGAAATCCAACCAAACTATTCAAAAGTAGCGCAGTATATCCATTTCAACTGCAGTAAAACCTGTGAGTAACGACCACGCCCTGGGGCCAGAGAAAGCGGTCTTTAGTGGCAGGTGGTCCTTAGTTAGAGGTTTGCCTGGCACAACCATAATGTGAATGTCAGACTGTCCGTGCCTGGCAAAGTGGTCTGTAGTACCAGACTGGTCGCTAGTCAGGGTGGTCTTTAGTTACAGGTTTTACTGTACATCATGCACTGTCCAAGAACCTCTCTGACGACCATAAGGCCACACGTTTTTATTTCTATGTTTCTCGTCACCTGAAAATCTAAAAACATATGCGAGAGGTGGAAAAAAATAAAAAATGACCGAAAAATAAAAAAAAGTTTATCAGACCTTTGTTCACACTAAAATCCACCAATACACCATGCAAAATAGCATCCATAGTTAGCAACTAGTATGTGGTAGGAGCTTCTGTCACAATCTGTGCATGTGCAGCTAGATTGCGCACAATAATTGGTGACCTCGCATCATGTGTCGCGCAGGCCAGGCCACATTATGTACATGTGCATGAGTGTGCTGGTCCCCACATGCACAGTCAGTGCAGCACATTTTTTTCTTTTTTTTCCTCCAGACTCCTGAGTCGTATGCGCGCGTGTGACGAGAAACATAGATATAAAAACGTGTGGCCTAAGGGCTTTGGCGCTGATTTTGGCTCACGGGTTTGATTTCTCTGTCCACGACGATGTCATAGGCATACCCACATGTATATACATATTGTAGTGGTGTAAGGTTTGTTGCTTACCAATGACTTTCATCTTCTTCTTTTTGTGTTCCATGACTGGGATCATCGGCTAAATTGTGGCCTGCGGTGAATTTTGCAGTGGTCAGAATTTAGCAGAATCGTAAGTAACTAGGAGTGATGCGGTTCTTTGATATCTGTTTTATTCTGCTTGGTCACAATAAGTAGCTGTCAGAGAAAGGGACCTTATATAGGTGTGTGTGTGTTGGTCTTCTTGTGTCAAGCTGATAAGAAGCATATTTTTTCGTTTCGGGAGAATGAAGTTGAATACACCACTGCAGCTGTACTTATGGTTGATAAATATGGTGGTAAAGACACACCTGGCAATTTGGCGATAAACACACGCCTGCCCACACACGCTCTCTAGGCTGCATTCCTTTGTCAATGACGGTAAATCAATAGCCAGTTGAGTCTCTCTCCCCTCTCACGAGGAGACCTGTGTGACCAGTTTTGGCAGTGAGCAACAAGTACAAGTACAAGTGTGTGTGTGTTTGTGTGTGTTTGTGTATGTGATTGTATATATATATATATATGTGCGTGTGTCTGGGTTTGTGTTTGCGTGTGTGTGTGTGTGTGTGTGTGTGTGTGTGTGTGTGTGTGTGTGCGTGTGTGTACGTGTGCGTGTGTGTGTGTAGTGTGTGTGTGTGCGTGTGTGCGTGTGTGTGCTTTTGTGTGCGTGCCCGCGCATGCGTGCGTGCTATATGCCTGTGAACTTTAAATTTTGTTCTATGGTTGAATGTGGTGACTACGCAGATGGAGTTTCTTGTTGATTTTTATTGCATAATGCAGACATGTACCCAAGGTGGGTTTATTAGTGAATGGTAGTGTTTGGTTTCTTTAGTAGAACACTGTAAGTACAGTCGTGGCCAAAGAAATCCAACCAAACTATTCAAAAGTAGCGCAGCACAGTCAAACCTCGTTAGGACGAACTTCAAGGGACTGAACAAATTTGTTTGTCTGATCGGGAGTTCTTCTTATCCAGATCCGACAAAAAATCGATATGCATAATCATACTTGTATTTACGTGAAGGTGCATGCTGTGGTACATGGGAAGCATGTTATTCTTACCATAAGCCAGAAACAGGTAAGTGCAATGACAAAGTGCAATGAATCACAACTGTGCCGAAAGTTCGTATAAGACACTGACTATTTGTTCAAAACACGCTTGAAAACAATTTGCACTGTACGTACAATATGGCCTCGTCTATTGAAAAAAAAGAAGAAAAAGGCAGCCAGCGCAAGAGCACGCTTGTGGACCGAACGTTCGTACTACATGTACATGACCACACTGATTTTGTTCGAATCACACTTGAAAATAGCTCGTCTTCGCGAAAGTTCGCTGTACAGAAGTTCGTCGAAAACGAATAATTTTGACTTGAATTGATGCCTGGCCAACCATAGGATTAGCCTTAGTTTGTATTAATGGAAAGTTCGCCTTATCAGTGTTCGTCCTAACGAGGTTTGACTGTATATCCATTTCAATTACAGTAAAACCTGTGACTAACGACCACCGCTTGGGGCCAGAGAAAGCGGTCTTTAGTGGCAGGTGGTCCTTGGTTAGAGGTTTGCACGGCACAACCATAATATGAATGTCAGACTGTCCATGCCTGGCGAAGTGGTCTGTAGTACCAGGCTGGTCGCTAGTCACAGTGGTCTTTAGTTACAGGTTTTACTGTACATCATGCACTGTCCAAGAACCTCTCTGACGACCATAGGGGCCGGCCGTAAGGGCTTTGGCGCTGATTTCGGCTCACGGGCAGTTTGATTTCTTTGTCCACGACGATGTCATAGGCATACCTACATGTATATACATATTGTAGTGGTGTAAGGTTTGTTGCTTACCAATGACTTTCATCTTCTTCTTTTTGTGTTCCATGACTGGGATCATCGACTAAATTGTGGCCTGCGGGGAATTTTGCAGGCCTCAGAAGTCGAAGAACTCGTAAGTAACTAGAAGTGATGTGGTTCTTTGATATCTGTTTTATTCTGCTTGTTCACAATTAGTAGCTGTCAGAGAAAGGGACCTGATATAGGTGTGTGTTGGTCTCCTTGTGTCAAGCTGCTGATAAGAAGCATATATTTTATTCTTTTCGTTTCGGGAGCATGAAGTTGAAGACACCACTGCAGTTGTACTTATGGTTGCTAATTATGGTGGTAAAGACACACCTGACAATATGGCGGTAAACACACGTCTACTGGCACACGCTCTCTAGGCTGCATTCCTTTGCCAACGACTGTAAATCAGAAGCATATCTACATGTGCATGCATATTATGCTGTTGTAAGGTTTGCTGCTTACCAATGACTTTCATATTATTCCTTGTGCTCCATGACTGGCATCATCGGCTAAATTGTGGCCTGCGGTGAATTTCACAGACCTCAATGGATGGAATACGGGTAAGTAACTAGAAGTGACGCGCTTCTTTGATATCTGTTTTGTTCTGCTTTGTCACAATTAGTAGCGGCCAGTGGGAGGGATATGATATGGGTGTGTATTGGTCTGCTTGTGTCAAGTTGATAAGAAGCATGTCTTTTCGTTTTATTATTATGAAATGACGAGGCACTTGCAGCTTTGAACGCTTTTGCTTATTCCTTTGTGTGCGTGCGTGCGTGCAGTTTCCTTCCTTATCTGCAAAAAGATCCAGTCTAAACCGCTCTTAAAAATTGGTGAAATTGTAGCCTGGCCCTTCTTCGGCGCTCTGTTCTTTGTTGCCCAACAGTATTGTAGTAGTATTACCAAGAGTAGATAAACAAGAGTGTGCAACTCCGGGATGGGTTTGCCCGCGGCGTACTGTTTTATTGACGTAATCTTTTCTAAGACGCACGCCCTGAGAGTCTTTCGGAAAGTATTACCTCGTGCACTTGGCTGGGCTTTACATTACAAGGTCGGTGCCCAGCACGTGCTCTCATACTGCTCTGCGGCAAAATGCACGTTTTTCTGAAAAAAGGTGACGTCAACAAAAAATTCCTCCGCGGGCGGGGTATGTGCAGATTGTGCAGAAGAGATGCGGAGTTGCACACTCTTGTTTATCTACTCTTGGTATTACTTATTAGTTATTACTTGTGTGGTTGCTATTATGTACATGTATGACCAGGACATTTGCTGTATAGTTGGATGTTTAGCAGCATGCAAAGAGTGAGGCATGACTCAAGGTGCCAATTTTTGTCCAGCATCTCTGTGTGCTCTTTCACTTTTGTTTTTCCTGTGTGTGTGTGTGTGTGTGTGTGTGTGTGTGTGTGTGTGTGTGTGTGTGTGTGTGTGTGTGTGTGTGCTATATGCCTGTGGACATTTGTTCAGACTTCGCAGATTGAGGACGCGTCCAGTCGGGTAAGTGCCATATTGTGTCCAGGATCTCTGAAAGCTGTTCTCTTTGCTTTGCACAGATGTAAAACTATAGCTGGTGGTCCCTGTTATCGTGTGCATATTACCCATCAGAAGTCAGAATTTTCGATAACCACTCTGTGTGTTTTATGCTATGCTATTATGTAATCATCTGGTTCTGTGAGTGCCTGGGTGGAATTTGCTTAGTCTTGGAGCATTTCAGTCTGCCTACGTTGTTCTTGATTTGTAAGAAATATGATGGTAGGTAAACAACAGAGAGAAACACACGACACTCTTTTTCTTACATATCGATCATAGGAAACACGGGAGGGTTTGAAGGACAATAGGACCAAAAGAACTCTACCACCTACCCCAGAGCATTACAAATCAAGGACCTAACGCAGGATAGCTGCCGAGCCAAGGAGAGAATTAATTTGCAATTCAGACACAGAGCAGCAGCTGGTGATACCTATGGTGTCAATGTATCCTAGCAGCTGTTTGCAAACAGTGCCCGAAGTTCCAACTACCACAGGAACAATGTGAGTTTCAACCTGCCATAACTGATGGACTTTGCAAGCAAGAAGTAGAATCGTAGTGAAATGGTGAAACAAACGAACGTCGTCACATTGTTATGGCTGCCGGTTTTCAACGCTTTTGCTTATTCCTTTTGTGTGTATTTGTTTGCATGCATACGTGCGTGCGTGCGTTTTTGTGTGCTATATGACCGGGACATTTGTTCAATGCTTGATGGTGGCCTCTTTCCAGCGGAAGTATTTTGTAAGTAACTTTGATAGCTGTTCTGTGTATTTACCATGAAAAATGCCGGTGTTGTGCCCAATCAATCAATTTTGTAAGACAAGGATGGGTTTTATAGAAGCGGATGATAGTTTACCGTCAAAGACGTCTTCAGCTGTTCTTGTTTTTAAGGGGGCAGCCTACCCATAAATTTCATATGGCATTCAATTGACCGTAACTTAGGTGTTTCTTAATGGATTTGAGTGAAATTTTAACCACACACTCCTGCCACTATGCTGGCCCTCAGGACATGATTTACAGGTTCTTGCGCCTCACGGACAGGCTTTCCAGGCCAGAAAAACTCAAATTTCCGGCATAGTGCCACGTTGTGCGAGCCACCCAGGAGCCAAACAAATGCATTTACAATTTTTTCACATTTTCGTGCCCATTCTGTCCGTGCGCGGGACCCAAACCTAAAACAAGTCCAGAAGCAGCCATGGGTGTCGGGGTAGGGCCCCTCAACGTGGCCCTGGAATCTGTCATAACGGAACAAGTGGGCGTTCTCGCACAGACTCTCACAGACCCAAGTCAATTTTTGAATTTTTTATAGGTTTAGCACGTGCTACGCGGTCGTACCTTTGATACAACATCCAGTGCTGGGACGTCCACAGCAAGCCATTTCCACAGCGCTGCACACCAAATCCAGGATACCCTCAGAAACCGGCAAAGACTCACGTTCCACAACTGCCTAGTACTGAATCCTACCTGACTTCTTGACACGACTCAAACTTGCCAAAGTCACTAAATCAACGTCAACTACAATAATCAAGCCACATATCTGCAACGTCACGAGGGTGCTGGCAAAAGTCCTGCTGCACGGCGGCGGGCAAAGCCCGCCGCCGTGCAGCCCAATACGTGGCTCAAGAACGTGATTTTTTGGACTTGGAGCAAAATTCTGCACACTTTCGCGTGTTTCCATGATACGACAAGTTGCGCACTGTCTGCTCACATTCAAATACAGTGCTGCCAACAAAATGACAGCGTGCAACAAAAAAATCTTTCCTTGCAAGGGCACATTTTAGGCCATAACTCTTGAACGGCTGGTCAGATCGGGACACAATTTTCAGAGAATTTGAAGCTATTCAAGCTCTTTCAACTGACATAGCACTCAATATGAATTAACAAATTCGATTTTTCAGCGAATTTTGGGTAGTCTGCCACCTTAAAGACAGGTGCTTAAGTGAAGTCAGTGGTTGATGAGGGTACTGGTGGTTTGTTCTAAGTACAGTGCTGCCATGTCAAAATTGTCCCAGTGTATATGTACATAGCAGAGGCACAATCTAGCACACAGCCTGGCCGCACAACATTGCCAGGGCATTGTAGTACCCAGCACTAGTTTCCAGTAGGATGAATTCCATTGACAAGCACTGTAGTACCTTGTGCCTTGTGCCTCCCCCCCCCCCCAAATTCATCACTGCTGGTGTCTCCAGGCGAGGATTTCCGTTCTTGCATGTATGTCGAATACCGTCCAGTGACAAAAGCTCTAAAGGTGATAATAAAATACACAGTGCAGGTGGAACATGGATACGCATGGCGCTAGAATTAAACCACGTGCATGAAGAAGACATTTGATTAGAGGTTGACACTAGCGTTGCAACACATACATGGATAATGATAGATTGACACCCGTCATTGGGCTGAAAGAGATAAGGAAATTGTTTTGCTTGGGCGGAGGAAGTACATGGTTGCATGGTGAAGCATATGCACACCTGCCAGTTCACGTGTTTTGATCGTGCTACTTGCAGTACCTTGAAACAACAGAAATGTACAGGGGCATCGCACACGGTACGGTCACTACGGTATTGACCGTACCACTATTTGCCCCAAGTACCCCGTGAATCACTAAAATGCACTGATTTGGGCTCTAAATTTCCAAAATTTCCGACTCAGCCATCCCTTATTAATTATAATTCCCCACGAGTAAATTGTACTTCAGATGGCTAACTGTACCTCACTAAAATACCTTCCGAGGCCCCTGATGTATCATGCAAACCTTCATGTACATTTATGCAGAGTTATACTTCTGAGTGTACATTATAGTGTACATCGCATTTTCCGTCCTTATCTGCATAAAGATCCAGCCTAGACCGTTCTTAAAAATTGGTGAAATTTTAGCCTGGCCGTTCTTCGGCGCTCTGTTCTTCAGTGCCCAACAGTATTGTAGTAGTATTACCAAGAGTAGATAAACAAGAGTGTGCAACTCCAAGATGGGTTGGCCAGAGGCGTAATTAATTTATTGACGTAATCTTTTCGATGATGCATGCGCTGAGAGTCTTTCGGAAAGTTTTACCTTGTGCACTTGGCCGGACTTTACATTACAAGGTCGGTGCCCAGCACGTGCTCTCACACTGCTCTACGGCAAAATGCACGTTTTTCTGAAAAAAGATAACGTCAACAAAAAATTCCGCCGCGGGCGGGGTATCTGCAGATTGTGCAGAAGAGATGCGGAGTTGTACACTCTTTTTTATCTACTCTTGGTATTACTTATTACCTCCTCCGGAAACAAAAACTTCGTGACTTTTTCACTACTTTTCGCTACTGTTATTTCGCTCTTTCTCTCTGATTCTGTCAGCCTGGAACACTGACATGACATGAATCGTAGGAAAGCATAATTCATATTCTGGAGAGCCGACAGTCATCGCAGAGCAAGGGTGTCGACGTTGCAAACAAAGCAAAGCGAACAATTCAATATGTTTTTTTTTCATTTTCGTCCACCAGGCGCAATGAGAAGAAAAGCACTGCGCTCACTGCTCATTGTGGCTATGTTTTAGTTCAGAGCTTGACAGAGCAGGACAATGGCACCGAGGAGCAAGAAGAGTGGAAAATGAATAGCAATAGCCAGTGGCGGATTTAGAGGGGGGCGAAGGGGGCACGTGCCCCCCCCCCCCCCTTCAGAAGCGCCGACCGACTTTTTTTTTACTGATCTCGATCGAAACCGAGCTCGCGTGCACTTTCTGTGTAGATGACAAGGCCAAGTCGCTGTACTGCATGCACTGTACACATTCATGCACTGGTTCACCGGGTCTGTAGATCGATACGCGGTACGCGTGTACTGAACTTGTGAACTGTAAACTCTTGTCGCGTCGAGTATTTCACACTTGCATACCAGCATTAGAAATTAATCATTTTACTATACAACTTGAACTAAATAATTACATCAATTCATAAAACATCACAAACATCATAAAACAGGTCTTTTTCCGTTTGGTTGGTAAAATTGCTGATTGTTATATTATACCAATAGTGCCCATACATTTACATGTTCGAGTATCACAAAAGTCATTGTAAAAGTAAACTTGTTCCATTGAGCCTGTAGTGTGCCCCCCCCCCCCCTCTTGTTTCGGATCCTGGATCCGCCACTGATAGCAGCTTGCGTTTTGAAATCTTTGCCATCCCCGAAACTGCTGTCGGCATGCGAACAGGTCGGCACAATGTCAAAACCATAAAATGCAGAGATGTGTGACATTCGTCACTTCGCGCAGCAGAGTAAGATGAACAAGTTCAAAATAAAAGTCAACGTTCAGCCACTGCAGAGCCCAGACCTCAACCTGGATGATGTCGCCTCAGCCTCGACGATGTGTCCTTGGTCCCAAAGGAGAACAAGCGAGATCTGATCGGGGCAGTCAGGAAGTCCTGGTCCGACTATGATATCCCTCGGAGGAAATTTGAAAGGTTTGGCTCTGCCCGTGTTTGTCCTCGAGCGAGAGCGGAGGCGGTAATGAGTAGCAGTGCTGCAGCGCTACCGTGGTTTCCGCCGAGATGTTGGAGATGGCATTCAGGTAACAATGAAGATGATTAGGAGCGCGGAGAAGCTTCTCCGCGACATACGACATCGCGTCGATCGACCTGCGACTTGGAACGGTTTCAGCCGTGATGAGTCGAGCGATGGCGACCCAGACTGACACTCTACTCCCACTAATCGATCCTGTAGATATTGTAGATATGTCGATTGAATGTGTTGAAGTGTTTCTCTTCCAAAAGAACACTTCTTTTGAGCACAGTAACTCCTTGAAAAGTCATGTAAAAAAGTCACGAAGTTTTTGTTTCCGGAGGAAGTAGGTATTATTTGTGTGGTTGCTATTATGTACATGTATGACCAGGACATTTGCTGTATAGTTGGATGTTTAGCAGAATGCAAAGAGTGAGGCATGACTCAAGGTGCCAATTTTTGTCCAGCATCTCTGTGTGCTCTTTCACTTTTGCTTTTCCTGTGTGTGTGTGTGTGTGTGTGTGTGTGTGTGTGTGCGTGCGTGCGTGAGTGCGTTTGTGTGCGTGCCCGTGCATGCGTGCGTGCTATATGCCTGTGAACAATAAATTTTGTTCTATGGTTGAATGTGGTGACTACGCAGATGGAGTTGCTTGTTGATTTTTATTGCTTAATGCACACATGTATCCAAGGTGGGTTTATTAGTGAATGGTAGTGTTTGGTTTCTTTAGTAGAACACTGTAAGTACAGTCGTTGTCAAAGAAATCCAACCAAACTATTCAAAAGTAGCGCAGTATATCCATTTCAATTACATGTACTTTAAATTATAGTATAAAAAACCTCCAGTCATTTGCGTGTTCTAAAAAGCAGGTAATATTTCTGATAATCACTCATATAAAAAACCTGGTGCTGTAAAAAAACTTGTATAAAAAGCCTGGTGCTGTAAAAACCTGGTGCTATAAAAAACCACTTTTAGGAAAATGACTGGAGGTTTTTATGCTATAATTTAAATAGAATATAAACTTCACCCTCGTGTTTACGGGAAAAAAACCATCGGCAAAAACCTCGGCTTCGCTTCGTTTTTTTGCCTCAGGTTTTTATTTCCCGTAAACACTCGGGACTCAGCTTATATTCTATACGTAAAGCCATATAATTATATATGTAGGACTCAGTATAGAGTCCATGCACTATAATGATGTCCAGCACCCTATATAGAGTCCATTGGTCCAAAATCCACTATACAGAGTCCAGGAGTCCACTCAGTTTTGATCAGCTTCATCCTGCCGCGCAATCCCCTATAAGGAGTACCGGTACACTTTTTCTACAAGTCCCCTATTCACGGTCCAGGAGTCCAGTTTATCCAGTCACGCCGTCCTGTGTGTTGTGCCCGAAAGAGAAAACACCCTTTCAGTTTTGCTTGC